CCTTTTTCTCTTGGTGACCTCGGGGGGAAGGTTTTTCCTTTCTGATTTTGCATTAGGATACAGCGTAGCAGCTTCTTACATACATGCGCATACATAGCGAAGAGGTGGTGGGTGGTGTCGATTGTGGCTTACAAAGTTCAGGGTGACAACGACGCGAGATGTTCCTGCCCGTGGGACCCTCGCCTCCTCCGGGTAGCTTTCCCCAGTCCCCTGGCTTGTGGGCGGGGCTCGACGGCGTCGAGGATGGCGTCGGCCCGATCCCTGGCTTCGATTGCTCGCTTCGATTGCTCGGTGCGCCATGTAGGACCGGGTGGTGGTGAGGGAGAGAGATCTCCTTGATTCCTGGGCGGCACCGGACATGGAGAGCAAGAGCGAGGCAGCGATGGGATGGGAGGGCAATGACGGGGGGACGGGTTTGGGTACCTAAACCATCACAGAGAGAAAGAAATAGCGAGGCAGCGATCGGGGGAAGGACGGACTCTTCGTGTTTTCTTCCGTGACGCCACCTCATCCCTTCATCTCTGACATGGCCTCACACGAGAGCTTCCACCCCCTTCCCTCCCTCCCTGCTCCCTCTCATGATCCATTCCCCGCTGCCGAATCCTACAGAAATGAGGAGGAACGGAGGAGGGGGGAAACGAAGGAGACATACCACCTTAGGAGGAGGTTGCGGCCGCAACCTTCTTGGCGGGGGCGGATGTTCCTTCGCGGAAACCGTTCTTAAACCGCCGGGGCAGAGACTGAGGAGGAGGGAAGGAAGGAAGGCGGGAGGGAAAGAGGGAGGGAGGAGAGGAGAGATGGAGGAATCATGAGTTTCCCACAGTACCAAAAGGGATGCCTGGAGGCTACTGTCCATTCCCTTCATGTGTCAAGGAAGATAAAAGAAACGATCCCAGACGCGAGGAGCGCCGTGGTTGAGCCCACAGACCCTCCACAAGAGGAAGGGCCTCCACAAAGCAGCCACACCGACGGGGCGGACCAAGCAGAACGTAGCCGTTACGGCAGACAATGTCCAACAACCACCCACTTGGGGTATCACGGAAGAATCCCAACCATCACGGTCCAGAGGCTTTCCCTCCCCCGCGCCTGGCACAGACAGGATTGCTCCACCTACCTTCAAATGCGCGGTCCGCCCCGTTCCCGTCGTCTTTCTCCGCTTGGCCTTCTCGGACCAGTTGACTGTCCCCCCAAAAGAGAAGGAAAGGGAGGAAGAGAAGAAGTAGGTGAGGTGGAAGGAGGGGAGGACGCCTCTCCACACGACCGGCATGTCAATCAATGAGGACAGAGGGCGGATTCCACCTTTCCCTGCAGCCATTTCAGTCCTTTCCTATCAGTCTCCTCCTCCCCTCATCCTCATGTTCCGAGGGTACTCCGGACCTCCCACGCAGGGCCCTTCTCGGCTTCACTTCTTCCCTCCCGGGCATACATGCACGTTCAACATGCTGATGGCACTCCTCCCCCTATCATCTGCCTCGAACACATCCCGCCTACGCCCCTTCCTTTCCCGGTCCCATTATTCCTCTATATTGAATCATTCTGGTCGTCACCACCCTCCTTCTCCCACCCCTTCCTCCTCCTCCCTCCCTTCCTGCGTGTTTGCCCCGACCTCCTATCTCCTGTTTCCTTCAGCACACCGCTTTGTCCTTCGCACATCCCTCACTCCTTCCCTCCTTCCCTCCCTCTCTCCCCCCTTCACTTCCCCACTACGTACACTTGCGAATCTTGGCCTCCGGAAAGCCGCAGGACCCACAGGCCTTCTTTTGCTTGTGGAAAGTGATGCGCCCGCACCGCCGGCAGCCCGTGTGGGTTTTGGTGTGACGCTTCCCGAACGAGGATGTGCCTTTTGTCTACGTGACACGATGGAATATGTGTGCCGGAGGGGCGGGAGCAAGAAAGGAAGGGGGCAGGAGGGGGGGTTAACGTCTTGAAAGGAGGTCGTCCAGGAGGCGAGGGGTAATAAGAGACAGGCATCGGCATAGGAAAGGGAAACTTTTCGTGTCAGTGAACCCACGTCTTTTCACAAGTAGAGTCTGTATGCCTGACTTCAGGATATGCCCGTCGTCTGACTGACCCATCTTCATCTCTCACGTAAAGAAAAAGCCAGCAGCCCCCCTCGTGGTTCGAGAGGGGCTGCTGGCAGAGGGAAACAACTTACCATGCTGGACGAAAACTAGAGAGCAGTTGCCAGGAACCAACGACTCTTCTGTGATTTATGAATACACGGTGTATGATAGTGAGAGGACCTTCTCGTAAATGGGAGCGGCGTCTGGAAGGTTTTACAACTTTCTTGGTGGTGGCTGAGGGGGCTTCTCAGAGCCACTCGTCGCTCTGGCTTCTTCGTGGCAGGTACCAAAAATGCAACCACTTCCACTGGTCTCCACGCAAACCAGCATGCACGCACACACATTGACGGCACACGGTCAATTCCTGCGCCCACATGAGCCTGACAGCCAGGCGTTTTCGGCCACCCACCGCTTTTTCTCACCCAGTAGTCGGGCCCGGTCGCCTCCCCTCGCTTAATCCCATGCGTTGAGTACATTTTCCACGCACACTGTCCATACAACGCAACACTCAATCCCGCCACGACTAATTTTTACCGCTCCTTCGGAAGTGGGGTTACGCCCCGTCCGCTCCTGGACCTGGGTTCGTGACCAAGAGTTGGCGTGCATGCGTCCTTGCACGCCCGTCCTACTTCTTTCTTGATTCTCTGTCTCCTCCTCCTGTATCTCGGTTCTTTTCCTTCCGGCACCATTTGACCCGCTCTCTTCTCCTACCGTCCTCGCTTTCATCACATTCGCGTCGTCTTTATGCGACGACCGGGGTCGACGCATTTCCCCACGTGCATTCCCCGCTGCAGCATTCGCAACATTCCTCCACCACTGCCTCCGTGCACCCTCCCTCGACCTCCCTCCCCTCTCTCCTTCCACCACTTTCCCCTCCTCGGTGCACCTCCTCCCACCCCATCCTCTCCCACGCGCTTCAGCTTAGCCACAGCCACTTTACTCCTGTGTGCCACCGCCAGCCTTTGGACTATTGTTCATTCATCAACCCCATCCCCTTCTTCTTCTCCTTCTTCTTCTTCT